TGCCTGCACGCAGTCGGACCAAGCAGCACTTCTTTCAGGTCAGCACTGAATGAGCCATACTTGGGCATCTTCAACATCTGGTTCGGCATCAACTGCTGTAACAGTTCGTATGGCATTGGCTGCGACCCGAACACTAAAAGGGTCCATGATATTATCCTCCAGGGAGAGTCCAAGGACACAGTTCTTGTAAAAGCCGGTCAATCAGTGTGGGAAGATTGAAGAACTATATTAGACAATTTATGTATAAAGAGATCATTTGCAAAAACACTAAAGTGTGTGCATTATCCTTAGGAACAAAACAGATGCATGGAAGACAAGCATAGAATCTACGTGAAAAGCATAAAATTGTTATAAATTGGAGGGAAGCAAACAGAGATCATTAACATTAATCCTTTCCAAATTCTTTTATCAATAATTTGAACTATAACATTCAGAATCCATAAAACAGATAATAATGATTAAGCTTGACATTGGAAGGAGGAATCGTTGATTTAACTCGAATACTTAAGTAATCAGTATGATACTCAACAAGACTCGCAGAAAAGAGAGCTAAAGCTCCTCTGCATAGTACGTCAATTGGCCTTGTATCTAAGATTTCCAAGCCCAAAAGGACACCATAGTTGAGGAAGGCGGCCTGTGAATCTTAGGATTTCCTGCTCATGATCCCTTGTCTTGGCGTTTTAGGTGGGATTTGCACTGAGTCAGCCCAAATGGCCTCTCATTAAGCTAAGCAAATCTATGATATGTCAGGGCTTCTTGGCCTACTGACCCCATCAGTGACATTAGTTATGAATCACAACCATCACGGCAAAAGACTTGGAACTTTACATGATTTTGTCCAGCAGCAGATGACTCTTCACTCAGAAAAAAAATCGTTTTAGGGGACTAGGATATAGAGCGAAACCCATTATACACCACATTATGATCAATGTGACTGCCATGTAATATTAAATCAGTTCTCCAGTGCAGAACAAATAGAGAAAACTTGCGTTCAGCAGTTGCAAGACTTTCAAAATAACAGCACAAAAGAATGAAATGTAGCTGAATCAAGGCCAATTTCAACTGTACACAACTGCAGCAATCATACGTAGTAGCATCAATGGTTCATTTAAACCAACCAAACTAAAAACCAGTGCTCATACGCAAAGATGGAAGAATAAATCACTGGAACAATGAATGCATATGAGCATATATATTATATCTTAATATATAGAACTCCATTCATAAGGTATAATCACGGGGAAAAACAAACAGTGGAAAAAGAATGTTTGAGCAGAAATGAAATTGTGAAATCAAGATTCCATAAATATTTAACAACATTCTTGAATATACCAATGGTTAACAAAATGATTGGCCATGAGCTGACACAAAATCTACGCCAAAACTCCTAAAAACAACAACAGATAACCCAACCAAAGAGAAATTCCTAAAAAATATCCCATTCCAATGCCAGCGGATCAGTAGATCTAAGCCCGCTCACCCCTGATCCTCCTGGCAAGTTGGATATCCTTAGGCATAATTGTTACCCTCTTAGCATGAATGGCACAGAGATTAGTATCCTCAAACAGTCCAACAAGGTAGGCCTCCGCTGCCTCCTGCAGCGCCGCCACGGCCGAGCTCTGGAACCTGAGGTCAGTTTTAAAGTCCTGTGCAATTTCCCTTACCAACCTCTGGAAGGGAAGCTTACGGATCAAGAGTTCGGTGGACTTCTGGTACTTCCGGATCTCACGTAATGCAACTGTGCCAGGACGGAAGCGGTGGGGCTTCTTGACTCCGCCAGTGGCCGGGGCAGACTTCCTGGCAGCCTTGGTAGCGAGCTGCTTCCGGGGTGCCTTGCCTCCGGTGGACTTGCGGGCAGTCTGCTTAGTACGAGCCATCAAACGATGTGAATGAAAATTGGGACTTTGCTTTCAAGGCAATAGAGTTATGAAAACTGTGTGGCAACACCGCAGAAGGGCCGTTTATTTATGGAGGCGGGAGGCGAGTGGGGAGTTTTGGCGGTGGTTTGAATTTTGAGGGTTGGAGGGTGTAGAAGGACCGTTGATCTAACTGGACGGTAGATATCACATTAAAGAATGGATATTTGGATTGTGATCCAAGTGAAAATTGATAGCAAATTACATTTCCCCACGTGGAATGTTGTTCTCTAAATTTTGAGGTAATAGCTTATTGTTACCAAATTACAAAAAATTAATATTTTTGAGTAACAAGATAACACATAGGACGATTGCTGAGTCTTTGATTGCAAATAGCATCATTTATTTTATAAAAAAAAATGTGTGGTTAAAAGGTTTGGAAAAATTCTAAATTTACATCCAAAATATTTTCATTTTGAAAATGAATTTTATAAAATAAAAAAATGAATAATGGTAGACAAACTGGGGCTTGAAAATTTATTGATTTTATATTATTAGATTTATCACACTTTAAAGTTTTAACTTCTTTTTAAAAATGTAAGCTTCAGTTTGGTTCTGATTTTTTGCTCCAAAAAATTAATTTTTTGATTTTTACTATCTTAAGTCAGGCGTCATTTTTTATTTCTTCACTCATAAGTGAAACTCACTTTTCTCTCTAACGGTTAAAAAATTTATTTTCAAAATCACTACTGAACAAACCCTAAATGGGAATGAGTAAATAAAAATTTCTAAAAATTTTGACTCCAAGAAATACAAGATTAAAATTAATTGTTTGTTTTAACCCAACTTTCATCAACTCTTTAAGATTTCTTAAACAAGCACTGAGACCCTGACAAATAAGTTTCTAGTTTTACGGAGAAGAGTTTTTTGAGAATCTAAATTATGCCAACTTCTTCTAGAAAGCTCTTCTAATCAAACAACAAAATTATTTAAGCATGTTCAAAAGTAATTTTTTAGTCACCAAAATAGTTTTTAACTTTTCAAAAGTCATACTAAAAAAACCCTAGCAACTTGTTTCATTAACCCTATATTTAACTTGACCAAATTTCAATTTGGAACGTCTATTCTTTTCGGTAAAGGAGGCCTCATTCTCATTAAATACATTAAAGTATCTTCAGTGCAATAATTGTATAAGAAATAAAGCGTAGAAAATATAAAAATAAATTACAAAAAAATTAAATGGACACATAAAAAATGAATTGGAGAATGTTTAGCATGCCTTCCACGAGCGGATAGTGTGCTATATGTTCTCCACCTTTTTCCTTGTCACGCATGGATTTGGAATGACGTGACACACTTCTCGGCGCACTTCAAGACCAATTGTAGGAGAAAACATTTTTAAGACAGTCTTACACCACAAAAAAAGGAAAAAAATGTAACACTGCAATGTGTGATGACATGAGACGGTTAGATCTAGAATTTTCATTAATTGGGGCTGCAACTTAAAAAAATCGATGTAATTAAATTTCTAGAGAAGGAAAAAAATTGTTAAAGGGCATTATTTATTGAAGGGGAATTTGCATAAATGTCACTCAAATAAAAAATGCATAAAAAAAAAATCATTTGCACCAATCTCTTTGAAAAATGTCACTTTTTTTATGCAAAATGTTCAATTTACCCTTTATGACATATTTTTATGAGCAATAGATGCTTGATTTGAATGCAATTAATGGTGTGATGTGATGATTTGTTTTATATATTTTAAATATTTAAGATATGATTATTATATTGTATAATATGAATTTTTGTTAAAAAAATGGGTGAAAAGTTAAAAAAAAATACATAAGCATGTATGAACACAAACTACATTCTTCTTCTTCATCTTCATTCCATCATCAACAAGGAAAAGTTATTGATCAATTTCAAATGTGAGCTACTAAAAATTGTTTATATTTCCATCTCATAGTTTACTACTTTAGATGTTTAATACAATATGGTTATATTTAATTGAACTTTTTGAATCTCTTATTCATTGATGTGTTTTATTTTTGATATATTTTTCAAAGGGAAAAAATACCACCATCCTCTAGAAAATGTGAAAGATGTCATATTTAATGAAGCATTGAGTCATTCCTTATCTATTTGTGGGAAGATATTGCAATGTTGTAGTTAAGAATTGATTATCATCATTAATGTTTTCAATAATTTCTTCCAAAGAACTAAATACATCCCCAAAATTTATGGCAGTTTAATTATTGAGTAGTGTCGTTGAAACCGTCGGGTTAGATATTTGAACTGTCGAACTCGACATTTACTCACTGTCGGGATAGACAATTTAACTGTCGACTTCGACATTTGAAAACTGTTGAAATCCTTTATTTTCATTTTTGCTATTATATGGATCTAAATATTCGAAAACTCCAATTGATGGTATTAAATGTCGACTTATGGAATGTGCAAAATTCTCACATTTACAATCCTAATGTTTCAGGTATGAATTATCATTTGAGATTCATCTTGTCGCATAGGGGAAAGTTTGTTCAACTCTCAATGTAATACAAGTTTCTTAAACAACCACTCAATGTCGTTGTTGACGTTGTATGTCGAATGTTCCCCGTACTGCATTGTATATTATCAAGTTATATTATAGCTTTGTTGTCATTATCGTTTGCGGCCATTATTGGTCCTTATGTTGTCATTATCAAACTCTACTACTGTTGAAAATAATTCAACCACACCATTCAAAAACTGCTATCACAATCCACTAAAAAATCTAATTTTAATATCCATAAAACACATTGTTTGTAAGTTGTAAATAGTATACTCAATTAACGTATAAATGATAAATAATACAGTCTTAAATGAAAAGTATAATTAAATGAGACACTTAATTCTATCTTTTATTTAACTTATCATAGAGCACAACCTAAACTTCACATAGTACCTCCTAAACTAGTGTTATAACACGAGTAATGTTAGATAACACTATTCAAGTGAAAAACCTAAAATGATTAAAATACTTGTAATTTGAGCAATTCTTTCTGGTGACTCCATCATACATGTATTCATTATGCTTGTTCTAATTGTCCCCATAGTCAACAACTACAATAACATTTTCGAAAACCAAAATCTAGATAATGGAAATTTTCAAGAATTTTCTTTTTCCCCAGTGAAGAATTCCAGTAAAGTTTCGATAACAATATCAGATTAAAAACTCAAGACGAGATTTCCAACATGAAAATAATTAGTTAAGCTGCAAGAATGATAAAAAAGACCATATAACTAGAATCCAACATAGGATTTGGTACATGTTTCATTACTTATTATAGTGAATAGTAGCTATATAAACTATATCTAGACTTGGAGTAGCAATCCATCATCCATGCTTGCATATCTATTCATGACCTTCCCTTATCTCTAACTTCTTAGTCATTTGGCAATTTCACCTGCAGAAGAGAAACATTTTAATCAGCCTTCAATTCATATTTACTTCGTCTGAAATTTTAAGATGTTAAAAAGACAATGTGGGAAATGCAATATTCATTTTTTATCATATGTCTAACACGTTCACGATTTTCACAAAATAGATAGTGGCAAGATTTGAAGTCGGGATCTTCATGTCATAACATATTAAATCACCTTATTAAAAAGTTTAATATGTTAAACGGAGATATAGAACACGTAAATTCATTTATGTGTAGTCTTCAATACTTATGACACGAAATGATACTCTTCAAATTGATTGGCGATGGACAAAAATCACGAAATGAACTGGATGGTGAGAGAGAGAGAGAGAGACTTAAAAGGAAAAAGTTTACATGGTTCAAAGTTGGCAGTGCACTTATCAGGAAGCTGCATAGCCATGTTTCTATCCACACCAGTAATTGTAGGGCCATTGACAAGCACACAAAGACAAGGCTGGCCTAGAGTTCTGATGGCTGCACAGCAAGCATCACTAGGTGGAATTGGGCTAAATGGAGCAACTGCTGCCCTGCATGGTATAAGCTGAACTAGAGCTGAGAAAAATGTGCTGCCACAGGGATGTCCATTGCTTTCCTGCACTAAAACACCTGCAGCCATGAAAACAATAACAAAAGCCAAAGTCGAAAGCTTCGTCATTATTTTTTGAGTGAAATTTGACTTATTTTTGGTTAAGAGGTTATGCTAGCTTTTGGATAGCCATGCATGCTAATGAGTGAGATTTATATAGGGAGAGAAGAAGGAAAGGAAAAGGAAAATGATGTTTTGTGCTTCTGTCCTAACTCCATTCACACTTGATTCATGTTAGTGCTTGTTAGCCAACTCTTCCATTTATTGAGCATGAAATTTTATAAGCTTGCCAATTTATTGGTTATTGTACCTAGGGCATGTTTGGTACAAGGATGAGATGCACTGTATAGATTAAAATGAAAAAAAAGTTAAAATCTTATTCGTTCTTATACTTCACAGTCATATCCAGTACTACGTACCAAACATACGCTCAAGGTTCATGTTTAATACACAGTACCAAACACAACTAGATGGCATTTAAACTTTTTTATTATTATTATTGAATAGTGTCCAATCTGTTTGGTTTAGATATAGGATATAATAAACTAGAAAGGTTGAACGGTAGGAGCCTATTTGGGAGTGATTTTGAGAATTGATTTTTTGATCGTTAGAAGAAAAATGGGGTCCACCTGTAAGAGAAGAAGTCAAATATGACGGCTGTAATAGTGAAATAACGGTCAAAAATCAATTTTTTGGGTGAAAAAATAGAGCCCAAACAGGCCCTAGTATATGTTAATTTTCAATCTGTTCACTTTTTCTACTAAATAGTCATTACACTCCTATTCCACATCATGATCTTCCAAATTTAACATTAATTTAGAGAAAACTGGTGCATATTATTTCATAACAATTGATAGAGAATGAATTATTTCCGAATTCTGTGTTATAATTATGACTGATTAATCGCAACAAGAGAATGTGGAAACACTTAAAAGTTAATTAAGTTTTATGGATAAAATTAATTTATTTATTTATAAGTGCATTTGTGACATGTCTACTCAAGTTCAGGGCATCATTCTATCAAAAACATGACACAATTTTCACAATCAGATAGGGATCACACTTGAACTTAACACATTCGCTTGTTCTGACTACAATAATCATCGCATTTAACACTTCAGTTTTTCATATACATTTGATGAATGAGCAAGGGAAGAAGGCTGCTCAAAAGAAGGAAAAAAAGAAAAAGAAAAAAGAACCTGCTCCGATGTCCTTGTGTAATCGGACTACAAAGGGAGTGAGATTGTGATTGACAAACTTGTAGGTGAAAGTTGATTATTTGGAAGATATTTGTTACAAGTTAGTAAAATAATTAGAAAACACTCAGCAACATTGAAGCTAAAAAGTAAACTAAAGTTTCGTCCATTACATCACCGAGTCTAGTTTAGTATTGTGTACTAAATATATTCTTTGAGAATTCTTAGCCACCACATTTAAGGTAGACAAATCTTGTAAACTGTTTTTATACTGAATTTTTCAAAAAGTCAGATACAGCTTCTTATGAGAAGTATTTTGAGCCTTGTGGTGAAGTCATGCACATTTTGGTTAGTATTTCTCTGCTGTACAGTAAGGTTATGTAGTATCAACAGATAATTTATAGAGGTCCTTGTATTTCTTTCTTTTTTTCATGTTCAACGTAACAAATCGACTAAATGGTAACAGAACATTATGCTTCAAAATAACTGAAGACTCAAGGAACGAGGATTAAGACACTAATGGCATATATAGTAAGGTGGATTAGATAATACTGGAGTGTATTAAATAAGGAAAAAGTTAAATTGTTGGCCATATATTGTCGAATAAGATCCAAAATGCATACCAAACTCCAAGAGTATTCATAAAGAGTATTTTATTACATTAAAGGGTGTCTTTAAATGTATAGATTAAATTTAACATTTATAACACTTGCACCTTCAAAGCAAGAGGCTCCATGTCATCACTTCCATCCCTTATCTTGACAATATGTTTAGATCAGGTTATATCAATGGTTAAGAAAGTTAAAGTGATAGTTATATTCAGCAAAAACCCAGTGCCCACTTGACCATGCCTTCTTGACTCTTCGGTGACTTTTGATAGGAACAAGTATACATTGGCACGAGGACATTAGTCAAGCTTGTTTTTTCATAAAAGAAAAATAAAATAAAGAAGTAACTGTTATTATTCAAAAATAACTTCTAAAAATATATTAGACAAAAAAAAGTTTAAAAATAATTTCTAAAATATCATTAATGAACCATCATTGATGGACATTGCACATGACACGATCAATTCGACTTTTGGCATTATACCGCCATGAAAATTGAAAACATCAAAGTAATTTAAGTTGTAAAGCAATTAACTCAACATGAAAAAATTAAAGAAAACACTTTAAAATCTTGTTCATCACCCAACTTATAGACAAGTTTTTGGGTTCTTGATACCCAATAATCCGGACGATGATTTAAAACAGTTGTCGGATTATTTATCGACACCATGGACTTGGCTCGACTCAGAGACGAACTACACTTTAGGATGGCTCGAGTTTGGGTTGAATGATTATTTGGTTAGTTGGACCATTTAGTGATTAATATGGAGTTGAAAATTGATCCATTAGTTTAGCTTAATTGGTAGCCTTCTTAGTGAACCTTAGGTCCAATTGGAGTGACCTAAACTAACCTATATCTATGTATTTATCTCCCAACCGTTTTGTGTGTGTGTGTGTTGTAGCAATGGAGAGAAGAGTTGAGAGGCAACTGAGAGAGAGGAAAGCCATGTGAGGTTGTGAGTAAGATTTAACTATTGTAATATTTTCTTCTTCTTCTTCTCCATACCTTTGTGGATTGCTAACACCACCACCCTTCTCCTTTGTGGGGTTTGAAAAAGTTTTGGCAATCCAAAGTGAAGGCGAAAGTCTCGAGTCGAGTCGAGGTAAACCGGTGTTCATTTGATTATTTTTTGAGCTCGAAATCAAGATTTATCGAAAGATTTCCGCTACACAAGTTTTAGTTTTGTGCTGAAGTCATCATCAAAAAGTAAATTTTATCCTAACCATTAACTTGTCACTAAGAATATTTCAAAAGATTCGATTTCTAAAAAGCATTTTTAAATTTGGAGAATTTTTTTTGGAAACTTTAACAATGCTCTCTATTTTAGCTCTTCATTTTGCTTTTTGAAAAAAAAAACAAAAATTATTGACTCCTCCTCATATTTTATTTTAACATACTTTTTATGTATCAATTGTCAATCAATTCAAATATGATTTGAGTAATTAAAAAAGTAGATCGTTAAAATATGTAACTTATTAAGCCCCTATTTGGCCCCCATTACGTGGAAAAATTAATGGGTGGAATAGTATTTTTTTGAAAAATTAGTGATTGAAAAAGAAAGAAAAATTTTCGATTTACGTGTAATATTATTTTATAGAAGATTGTGTGATTGAAAATAGTTGAGAGAAAAATGAAATGTAATATAATGAAAATTAATGGAGCTCAAACAAGGGCTAAATGTAATTATTATAAAGTAAGAATGGAGAGTAGCTCTTGGAACGTATTTTTAAACATTGATTCTAAAAAATAAAGAATATTTTATATCTAAAAATTCTCTTGGAGATCTCTAAGTTTGGTTATATAGTTTGTATTAAGGCTTCAATTACAAAATTTGTCATTTGACATTTTCCTTTCATATACAACATTACATGTCAACCAATTCACTTTGTCTTGGTTAAGGATTGGAACAGCATTATGTGGGAGGAAAACTCAAGCCCCCAAGCTTTTGATCTATTGTTCGAAAATAAGAGCATCTCCATTCGTGGTATACAAGATTCAAATTTTCAAAGTGATCGAAAACCCCTCTAATGGAGAAATGCAAACTGCATTTTTCGAAAGAAAATGTCAAAAAAGAAGCATTCACAAGAGATAAAAGTGAATTTTTTGGATCTTGATAGGTCCAGTCAAAACAAAGACACAAACAAATAAATTTAAATAAATAATACTTCCTTTTGGGTAGGAAGGAAACCACAAACAAACCAAATAATAATTTAATTCACACTCCAATAGCTAACACACAACAAATATATATATAGACTCCTAATAACTAATTGTAGCTTAGTGGCTACTAACCACCCACTTAGTGGCTGGCTACTAACCACTCAACACTTTTGGAGCATGTTCCCATGTTGACACAATGAGGTGTCTTTGCTGGTCATTATGCGTCTATCAGATCTTTTCATTAAAGCAAAATTTGAAAACACCAATTTACACCCAATTTTAACCACAATTGAAGATGCTGTAAGATCGCCATTATCAAAAAACAGCAAAGTCAACCCTCAAAGATGAAGCACAGAGACAGAGTAGGACTATTTTCTTATGATGCTCATTGTTCATTAATGAAGTTCAGCACATTCATAGCTGAATGCCTCAATCTAGTGAGTCACATCACGCTACAAGGAATCTAAGAATTTATATTCTAACAAATAAAATAATTCTATCTATAACAATTTGAGTTCAAGTTTTGCTATCTGAGGTACACATCGAGGATGTGCCGAAGATTTTATTTAAATAAATCCCGTTTATTACGAATTAAAATCTAATTTTAATTTAAGTCAAAATTAAATAATCAATATTAACCACATCTTTCATGTATCCCACAACTTTTTAATCTCACGTTTCAAAAACTTCTATCACAGTTGACTAAAAAATCTAATTTTAATCCCTAGCAAACACTGACAATAATGTCGAAAACCTAATGCCTTCTTGAACTATTTAACTTCCCCAATCACAAACCAAAATTACTCATTTTCATGCATTTCCATAACCAATACGGGAGAACATGGGACTGACCAGAGTGCTGCTGGTTAGAATCTTTATGCTGCACTTGGCTTTTAGTTTCACCATTAATGCCTGCACGCAGTCGGACCAAGCAGCACTTCTTTCAGGTCAGCACTGAATGAGCCATACTTGGGCATCTTCAACATCTGGTTCGGCATCAACTGCTGTAACAGCTCGAATGGCATTGGCTGCAACCCGAACACTAAAAGGGTCCATGACATTATCCTCCGGGGAGAGTCCAAGGACACAGTTCTTGTAAAAGCCGGTCAATCAGTGTGGGAAGATTGAAGAACTATATTAGACAATTTATGTATAAAGAGATCATTTGCAAAAACACTAAAGTGTGTGCATTATCCTTAGGAACAAAACAGATGCATGGAAGACAAGCATAGAATCTACGTGAAAAGCATAAAATTGTTATAAATTGGAGGGAAGCAAACAGAGATCATTAACATTAATCCTTTCCAAATTCATTTATCAATACTTTGAACTATAACATTCAGAATCCATAAAACAGGTAATAATGATTAAGCTTGACATTGGAAGGAGGAATCGTTGATTTAACTCGAATACTTAAGTAATTAGTATGATGCTCAACAAGACTCGCAGAAAAGAGAGCTAAAGCTCCTCTGCATAGTACGTAAATTGGCCTTGTATCTAAGATTTCCAAGCCCAAAAGAACACCATAGTTGAGGAAGGCGGCCTGTGAATCTTAGGATTTCCTGCTCATGATCCCTTGCCTTGGCGTTTTAGGTGGGATTTGCATTGAGTCAGCCCAAATGGCCTCTCATTAAGCTAAGCAAATCTATGATATGTCAGGGCTTCATGGCCTACTGACCCCATCAGTGACATTAGTTGTGAATCACAACCATCACGGCAAAAGACTTGGAACTTTACATGATTTTGTCCAGCAGCGGATGACTCTTCACTCAGAGAAAATCGTTTTAGGGGACTAGGATATAGAGCGAAACCTATTATACACCACATTATGATCAATGTGACTGCCATGTAATATGAAATCAGCTCTCCAGTGCAGAACAAATAGAGAAAACTTGCGTTCAGCAGTTGCAAGACTTCCAAAATAACAGCATAAAAGAATGAAATGTAACTGAATCAAGACCATTTTCAAGCGTACGCAATTGGGGCAATCATACGTAGTAGCATCAATGGTTCATTTAAACCAACCAAACTAAAAACCAGTGCTCATACGCAAAGATGGAAGAATCACTGGAACAATGAATGCATATGAGGATATATATTATATCTTAATATATAGAACAACTCCATTCATAAGGTATGCGGGGAAAAACAAACAATGGAAAAAGAATGTTCGAGCAGAAATGAAATTGTGAAATCAAGATTCCATAAATATTTAACAACATTCGTGAATAAACCAGTGGTTAACAAAATGATTGGCCATGAGCTGAAACAAAATGTACACCAAAACTCTCAAAAACAACAAGAACAGATAACCCAACCAAAGAGAAATCCCTAAAAAAATCCCATACCAATGCCGGCGAATCAGTAGATCTAGGCCCGCTCACCCCTGATCCTCCTGGCAAGTTGGATATCCTTAGGCATAATTGTTACCCTCTTAGCATGAATGGCACAGAGATTAGTATCCTCAAACAGTCCAACAAGGTACGCCTCTGCTGCCTCCTGGAGCGCCGCCACGGCGGAGCTCTGGAACCTGAGGTCAGTTTTAAAGTCCTGTGCAATTTCCCTTACCAACCTCTGGAATGGAAGTTTACGGATCAAGAGTTCAGTGGACTTCTGGTACTTCCGGATCTCACGTAATGCAACTGTGCCAGGACGGAAGCGGTGGGGCTTCTTGACTCCGCCAGTGGCCGGGGCAGACTTCCTGGCAGCCTTGGTAGCGAGCTGCTTCCGGGGCGCCTTGCCTCCGGTGGACTTGCGGGCAGTCTGCTTAGTACGAGCCATCAAACGATGTGAATGAAAATTGGGACTTTGCTTTCAAGGCAATAGAGGTATGAAAACTGTGTGGCAACACTGCAGAAGGGCCGTTTATTTATGGAGGCGGGAGGCGAGTGGGGAGTTTTGGCGGTGGTTTGAATTTTGAGGTTTGGAGGGTGTAGAAGGACCGTTGATCTAACTGGACGGTAGATATCACATTAAAGAATGGATATTTGGATTGTGATCCAAGTGAAAATTGATAGCAAATTACATTTCCCCACGTGGAATGTTGTTATCTAAATTTTGAGGTAATAGCTTATTGTTTGCGATGACCAAATTACAAAAAATTAATATTTTGAGTAACAAGATAACACATAGAGCATGTTTGGGCTTGATTTTTTTACTCAAAAAATTAATTTTTTGACCGTTATTTCACTATTTTAATCGTCATATTTGACTTCTTCTCTCACAGATGGACCCCAATTTTTCCCTAACTGTCAAAAAATCAATTCTCAAAATCACTCCCAAACAGGCTCATAGGATGATTGCTGAGTCTTTGACTGCAAATAGCATCATTCATTTTATAAAAAAAATTGTGTGGTTAAAAGGTATGGAAAAATTCTAAATTTACGTCCAAAATATTTTCATTTTGAAAATGAATTTTATAAAAAAAAAAAATGAATAATGGTAGACAAACTGGGGCTTGACAATTTATTGATTTTATATTATTAGATTTATCACACTTTAAAGTTTCAACTTCTTTTTAAAAATGTAAGCTCCCGTTTGGTTCTGATTTTTCGCCCCAAAAAATTAATTTTTTTTTTTATTTTTACTATCTTAACTCAGGCATTATTTTTTACTTATTCACTCATAGGTGGAATTTACTTTTCTCTCTAACGGTTAAAAAATTTATTTTTAAAATCACTACTGAACAAGTCCTAAATGAGAATGAGTAAATAAAAATTTCTAAAAATTTTGACTCCAAGAAATACAAGATTAAAATTAATTGTTCATTTTAACCCAACTTTCATCAACTCTTTAAGATTTCTTAAACGAGCATTGAGATCCTGACAAACAAGTTTCTAGTTTTACGTAGAGGAGTTTTTTGAGAATCTACATTATGCCAACTTCTTCTACAAAGCTCTTCTAATCAAACAACAAAATTATTTAAGAATGTTCAAAAGTAATTTTTTAGTCACCAAAATAGTTTTTAACTTTTCAAAAGTCATAATAAAAAAACCCTAGCAACTTGTTTCATTAACCCTATATTTAACTTGACCAAATTTCAATTTGGAACGTCTATTCTTTTCGGTAAAGGAGGCCTCATTCTCATTAAATACATTAAAGTATCTTCAATGCAATAATTGTATAAGAAATAAAGCGTAGAAAATATGAAAATAAATTACAAAAAAATTAAATGGACACATAAAAAATGAATTGGAGAATGTTTAGCATGCCTTCCACGAGCGGATAGTGTGCTATATTTTCTCCACCTTTTTCCTTGTCACGCATGGATTTGGAATGACGTGACACACTTCTCAGCGCACTTCAAGACCAATTGTAGGAGAAAACATTTTTAAGACAGTCTTACACCACAAAAAAAAGGAAAAAAATGTAACACTGCAATGTGTGATGACATGAGACGGGTAGATCTAGAATTCTCATTAATTGGGGCTGCAACTTAAAAAAATCGATGTAATTAAATTTCTAGAGAAGGAAAAAAATTGTTAAAGGGCATTATTTATTGAAGGGGAATTTGCATAAATGTCACTAAAATAAAAAATGCATAAAAAAAAAAAATCATTTGCACCAATCTCTTTGAAAAATGTCACTTTTTTTATGCAAAATGTTCAATTTACCCTTTATGACATATTTTTATGAGCAATAGATGCTTGATTTGAATGCAATTAATGGTGTGATGTGATGATTTGTTTTATATATTTTAAATATTTAAGATATGATTATTATATTGTATAATATGAATTTTTGTTAAAAAAATGGGTGAAAAGTTAAAAAAAAATACATAAGCATGTATGAACACAAACTACATTCTTCTTCTTCATCTTCATTCCATCATCAACAAGGGAAAGTTATTGATCAATTTCAAATGTGAGCTACTAAAAATTGTTTATATTTTCATCTCATAGTTTACTACTTTAGATGTTTAATACAACATGGTTATATTTAATTGAACTTTTTGAATCTCTTATTCATTGATGTGTTTTATTTTTGATATATTTTTCAAAGGGAAAAAATACCACCATCCTCTAGAAAATGTGAAAGATGTCATATTTAATGAAGCATTGAGTCATTCCTTATCTATTTGTGGGAAGATATTGCGATGTTGTAGTTAAGAATTGATTGTCATCATTAATGTTTTCAATAATTTCTTCCAAAGAACTAAATACATCCTCGAAATTTATGGCAGTTTAATTATTGAGTAGTGTCGTTGAAACCGTCGGGTTAGATATTTGAACTGTCGAACTCGACATTTACTCACTGTCGGGATAGACAATTTAACTGTCGACTCCGACATTTGAAAACTGTTGAAATCCTTTATTTTCATTTTTGCTATTATATGGATCTAAATATTCGAAAACTCCAATTGATGGTATTAAATGTCGACATATGGAATGTGCAAAATTCTCACATTTACAATCCTAATGTTTCAGGTATGAATTATCATTTGAGATTCATCTTGTCGCATAGGGGAAAGTTTGTTCAACTCTCAATGTAATACAAGTTTCTTAAACAACCACTCAATGTCGTTGTTGACGTTGTATGTCGAATGTTCCCCGTACTGCATTGTATATTATCAAGTTATATTATAGCTTTGTTGTCATTATCGTTTGCGGCCATTATTGGTCCTTATGTTGTCATTATCAAACTCTACTACTGTTGAAAATAATTCAACCACACCATTCAAAAACTGCTATCACAATCCACTAAAAAATCTAATTTTAATATCCATAAAACACATTGTTTGTAAGTTGTAAATAGTATACTCAATTAACGTATAAATGATAAACAACACTAATATTAAATCGTATTTCTATGGAGAAAAGGAGGATACCAATTACAAAATTGGATTGAATTATTTACTATAATATTAGAGGTGGAGTGTTTTTTGTACTTTAAAAAAATCAACAATTTAACGTTTTCGTTATCCTTATTCTTCTTTATCATGTTTATAACCTATTGATTTCATTGGAGTGTCCATATATTTCATAAAGGTTTTTTCAACTTACGGTGTTCCCCAACACATTCTCAACTTATATTACCACCTTAAACTTATATCTTCATTATCATTCTCACATCATTCACAAACAGGCAAATATATGTTCAACTTTATAAATAAAATACGGATCCATATACAACATATTGCATGACAACCCCACAGTTTATCTACTGCTCCTGACAGATTATTTTTGTCATCCTCGACACTTGGTCATGACAAATTGTATGAATAATTTTCGACAGTTCATTGCAATTGAGTAAAGTACACAAAAAAATTCAATATAACAAATATTCGAATACACAGCATTATATACATACATTATCACGTGAATCCCTGACAAAAACTAGAAACCATAAATATAGTCTACAGTTAAGCATAATAGTTGCAAAATTAACAAATTCCGCTATGTTATCATTAAATTTCACCTAGAAGCACACAACATTTAAGCGACGGCTACAGCAAACTAAAATATTTGCGTGCATCACTAATAGGAACTGTAAAACATTTTAAAATAAAAAGCTACACAAAAGTACTATCACAATACATTTTTATTGTGAAATGAATACCTCCAAAAGTATTATCACGTCATTAACTACTTAAAACAACCGTTATGTTATCCTTGAGAATATGTTACTATTTCCCTAGTTAACTTCTACAATGTATCTGATATGTTGCTTGATTTAACGTTAATTGACTTTCTATCTGCTTTCACTCACGAATGGAGTCCTAGTCAATGCAGCAGGCACTCGGACACGTGTCGATCGTTGATATTTGCGTTAACATCATCGTCACCTTGAATTGTTATGGTTGATGCCAGTGGTACATCAGTGTATACCCTATGCAAAAGTGGTTTGCGTTGTATTAGGTACCAAAATTTAATAATGGAAGAAAATAACAGATTCGACCAAAAATTTGAAGTATAACATCGAAATGATACATTTATCTTCAGCTAAACATATTTAACTTAAAACATAAGAATTTGACATTGTATAACCACCCCCACCATGGAATTTACCGTCTGCCACAAGCATAAGGAACTTCATAACTGTCCGATCATGTACCTTTCGATTTGACATCTTCATACGAAATAATCAAGTTTCAAATGCCAAGTTAAGAAATCAAAACATTCTAATATATGTTTTTTAAAACTAAAAGTAGTAACACATACCAATTACCTCTTTTACCCATCAAATCAATGGACCTTTCGGTAGTTTGGGCTACCAATTTTCATGTCAGTATCTTCATATAAAACAATCATGTTTGAAATCATGAAGATAAAAACTTCAAACAGTGAGACAAATGCATTTTTAAATTAAAGTGATCATACATATCAGTCCCCTTATTTACCTAGCTAGCCGATGGACCCTCCGGTAGTCCAGGCAAACACCTTTTGGATCGATGACTTCTCTATCTAGAATGATAATTTATCTCTACAAATTGATTCATAACTATTATGTCTATAATTCATGAAGTAATAATGGTGCTCAAATGATATATTATACATTTCAACCCCTAAAATCACGCGTAGAAGAGAAGTTTAACAAAATTTGGCTTCTGCAATCAACTGTCGAGAATTTCAGAATCTAACTGTTGAGAACGACAGTTCATCTGTCGACAGATGATTTTTTTACTTTCAGAATGGACATTATATTTCACATTCATATTGATTTTCCAAGATATGAAGGGCCAAGTTATGACAAACATGATACGTGTTATACTTATAACTTCCAATATCACCAGTTTTCATATACTCAGCCATAAGTCATATACATAAATGCAAAGACATTTTCAAGAATGAAAATATAATAATCCAACACTTCAAACAATATTCAAATAACAAGGAATAATCATATAAAGACACATTTAACC